GAGCCCGCGAGCCAAAACTACTGAGCCCGCGCGCCTAGAACCCATGCTCTGCAACAAGAGAAGCCACCACGATGAGAAGCCCGCGCACCCAAAGAAGAGTAGCCCCCGCTCGCCACAACTAGAGAAAGCCCACACGCAGAAATGAAGACCCAACAAAGCCAAAAATAAATAAGTTAAATAATTTTTTAATCTATTACAAAAAAGGTATAACAATACATTTCTTAAATAGTCAAAAATCATTATCAATGTTTCCACAAAAATATACTAAATTCCAAGAGCAAAATAGAGCAGTAAGTGATAACAGTCATTTTCCCTCCCTACTCAATCAACTTTTAAATTTCATTTCAAGCACCTATTTACGGAAAATATACAAAGTTAAAATTTTTTTTTCTAAACTGAGAATTTTCCATAAAATGACCATTTGACTTCTAAAAGCTATTTTTTTTTTAAATGTTTGCTTTTATTTATTTTTGGCTGCACTGGGTCTTCGTTGCTGTGCGCAGGCTTTCTCTATTTGCAGCGAGCGGGCGCTACTCTTAATTGCGGTGCACGGGTTTCTCAATGCGGTGGCTTCTCTTGTTGAAGAGCACGGGTTCTAGGGCATGCAGGCTCAGTAGTTGTGGCTCGGGGGCTCTAGAGCGCAGGCTCACTAGTTGTGGCACACGGCCTTAACTGTTCTGTGGCATGTGGGATCTTCCTGGACCAGGGCTTGAACCCGTGTCCCCTGCATCGGCAGGCGGATTCTTAACCACTGTGCCACCATGGAAGTCCCTAAAAGCTATTTTTAAATGGGCTTTCTTCCTGTTACTAATCAGAATCTGATTTAAAACAAGTATTTTCATAAAATAATGATACTAATAGAAACAGCAAGAACTTTTAACATAGGAGTGTGGAGAAAGGTTTTTACTGAAAATTTTAAAGGTCAAAATACTGGTATTGTGCATCACAGCACTATACAAATGTATACGCTACACAAATGCCTACAGTCACTAGGCATTGTGCTCTAGAGTTCACGTAAGTTGACTCAACTAGCTTTGTTGATACCCAGTTCTTAACACAGACATAATATTCCTTGAAAATAAAACCAAGTTGAAGACTTACTCATGTTCTACTGTATAAGAGATTTTAGACAAATTGACAATTCACTTCTTTGTTAACTTCTTCTGAGAATTTTAGTTTCTGTAATTCATTAATATGGCTAGACATGAGGGTCATTTACCCCAAAATTATACTGAGTTTTTGGTTTATAATTATGATATATTTAAGCAGAACTTCCTATTTTAAGTAACAAATAAAATTTAACCCCAAACTTAACTTTGACCTTTCTCCTGCAAATAATGGTTGAGATGACATGTTCTCAAGACGATCTTTTAATCAGCAGTAATAATATAAATAAGCTATTCTAGAATTCAAAAGGTTCCTTGACTGATGCTTTCCCATCAAAACCGTTTGTAAATATATTCCACGCAAACTTGATGGGGAAAAAAATACCACTGGCATTATATTATATCCACTGGAGGGCACTCAATGTGACCGAAGCATGCAATAGTATGCCCTAACTCTATTCTCACTCAACTGCATCAAGTTTGAGGGAGACTTTGGGGATAGGGAATCTCTCTTAAAAGAAGAGATGCCCACAATTAACAAACTTACAAAGATAGTTAAACTCTAAAAAGGGTTCCTAATGTGACTGACTTTGTCTATTAAGAGCTGCTTTTTCCTTAGGGAGAAAGCAGATTAAAAACACACTTCAAGGATACAGGCAGGGTTCAGGCCTCAACAGAAGTATCTAGATTTCAAACCTGGTCAAGCTCAGACTTGCGTAAAACACAAAAGCAGCATTCTTAAGTAAACAGAGGAAATAAAGAACTTTCTCCAGAGTTTAAGTGATGAAAAACTACACAAGTTAACTCCTACTCATTTTCAAGCAATACAAATCACATATTTTCCTTTCATGAAACTTAAGTACTTATTTTAGCCTATTACTCTATCACACCACAATTAGAAAGGTATTACATAAACAATACTCTGTTAAAGAATGAGAACTGATTCTGCAACTCAGTATCCTCTCAATGAGGGTACAAGAGGCAACAGCTACATGCTCTGGACGAATCAGCAAGCAGTAGCTCCTAGTCTGTGTTTTACTATTTACTTTTATGGTATAAAAATGTTTTTAGTCAAGGTGTTTCAACTAAAGATACCATATTCCCAACAAAGAGAGAGCTACAAGAATACAACTAAGTTAACACAACTAATGTTTTCACAACCAATGTCACAAGTCAACATGTAGCACGAAAGAGTTGCCAATACTTTTTATTAGAAGTTTGTCCTGCTCTAAATGCATTCATCCCTTCTGCCCTGGGTTGGCAATCAAGCATGCTTCCAACCAAGCTCAAAGTACAAACTTAAAATTTACCACCTCCTCCTCTACAATTATTATCAGCAACTAGTAAACCATAAAAGAGAAATAAAAGCTTATTGTAACTGGACAGATGTATATTGTTTCATTTCAATAACACAAAAGTTTCATTTGGCTGAAGATACTACATATACTCCATTTCTGTGGTTTTAAGTTCAGTGCTACTTATAACTATAAAAGACTGAGATTCAAACTTTTGAATTCTCCATGTTCCTAGTTTCAACAATACTTACGCTCCTCTTTCCACCCCTCCCAACAATAAAAAAGGATATCTGCAGATAAAGTTTTCCTAAGAACCAAATCTCAAAACACCCTTAGAGAAATCTGCCTACTTCATATTTTCCCTTTCCCATTTGGGGAGGTGGAAGAGGGAAGTGTCTATGAAAACAAAAATACACTTCATTTATATGTATAATTTTTATTCTCTTAATCACTAGTAACAGTAGGAAGCTCAATTCAGTTTCAGTTTTAATATGGGAATCTACATTTTTCTACATAATTACCTTGGTAAAGGAAATAGACAACATTTCAAAAGAAAGAAAATTCTTGAACACTTTCTGACACTTGAACACTGCTAAATTTTTTTTTAAGCCACCTTTTTTTTTTTTTAATTGGTTTTTCCTGAAAGTGATTTTAAATGACTGCTCTAGCCTCTGGGAGAATCTCAGGCCTAGAACTCCACAAGGGCTCTAAGTTACATACCATACTAAACTTTCTAGTGCAGTTTTTTAATTTCCCCCTCAAGGACTTCAGACTTGAATAGTCTCAGCACTCCTTTAATCCTATAGAATAGTCTTCTGGAAGCTTTTCAAGCTACTGTTGCAATCACTTTAGGGCCTTGTACATGGCCTGCAGAACAAAGACCAGGTCAAAGTAATGAATACTGGGCACAACTTAATCAAATTTTGTGAAAGGATATTCTCAAACCTTAATGGTACTTTTTTTTTTTAACCCAGATATTTGTGGGTTTAAATGTAAAAGTAAAATAAATGTAGCAGCCGCCTTAGTTCACACCGGGGGGCGGGGGGAGGCGCGGTGAGCCTCCCAAGTAGAAGTTTACGTCACTAATTTAAGCAGATACTAAACAGCAGCATTATATAAATAACATTTCAAGCTATGTCCACTATTTCTTAGGACGAAGACAAGTTAACAGGAAGATAGTGAAGGTACTGAATGTACACCAAGGGGCAATAATGAAATGGCTTCCCAAGTTCCAGACAAAATACTTTATAACTTAGCGATCTAAAAAACAGCAGCCCAGACTTTATCAAAGGCTAGCCGTCTCTTCAAGTTGCTGTCTAGTCTAAGCCACCACTATTCACGACACAAAGCTCTCGTTTCACTAAAACCACTCCTCGATTTCCTTCTGCCGACCTCTGCATACCAGCAGGCCAGTCTCCCTTCATTCACCACTCACAAACTCGGGGGGGGGAGGGGAGACCACAGATGTCTGGAAGATACAAAGTAGGAGACAATGCTCCCTCCAACAGGGAACAGAAATCGAAGGAAACAACTACATCCGACTGCCAAAGCTTTCAAGTTTAGCGGATTCAGAAGCGGGCTGTAAGAACTGAACTTCGAAAGTCTCTGTTCCAAGTCCTCTCCCCAGACAAAACACGGAACAAAGTTGCAACGCTTGAATTTCCTTCGGGCAATTTCGTAGCGAGGGAAAAATTCACCCCGCTGGAAAGTGTTCTCAAAATCAAGTTTAGCTGCCATAAAACTATCTGAATAAAGAATTTCCACGAACAAAATTTTCGAAGCAGTCAGAGGCTGAATCCCATGGGTCACTTGATAAGAGCCAGTTAGCCAGTCGCCCTCGCCCTTATTTTTCCCAGGACCTCCCTTGCACGCCGCTTTCACCCACCTGCACCGTACAAGAAAATATACGTGCAAGATATGGATTTTTATCTGTGCAAACCCTCCTGGCGCATCGCACCGTCTGCAATAACAGTTTGGATCCTCTAAGGTTTAAAGTTGCTTCGATTTAAACAAGCGCACTCACGCCGGCAGGGCATTAAAAAAAAAAATACTAACGATCCTCTTAACAATCCGTCCTTAAGCACGAAAGGGGGAACCTGGAGATGGGACCTCGGGTGGCGTCCCAGGCCCAGCGCCCGCACCCCAACTCCCCGCGGAGGCCGGGAAGGCGGAGTCCCCCGTCCCCACCCCGCCCCCCACCCCGGCGCATCCCGAGGCGCAGGGTCCCTCCCCCAAACTCAGCCGCGGCCGAAGCCCCGGACAGAAACCACAGCACTCCCCCCCACACCCCGCCGGCCATCCGAGCTCCAGGACGCGCCCTCGCGGCGCCCCCTCCCCGAAAGCGGTGCCCCCCGGGCCCCCGAGGAGCGGCGCGACCGGAACCGGGCCAGGCCGCCGCCCTCCACCCCCCGAGCGCGGCCCGCCTCCGCCGCCTCTCCGGCGTCCCCAGCCCGCAACCCCCGCTCCCCACCCGGGGCCTCTGGGCTGCGCTGGGCCCGGTTCCCAGGTGCCGCCGGGACCGCGCGCCCGCGACGAAGTTTGGCTCCGAAGCGGGAGTGGGAGCAGCCCCAGAAGGGTAAGGAAAGGAGCGCCCAAGCACCTCAGGGGAACAGGCTCCTCCCGCCGCGGTAGTCCGACCGTCCTCGGCCTGCAGTGGCGGCTCGACGGGGATCGGAGCTGCTCCTCGGACCTTCCTCGGTCTCCGCCTCCCCTCGCTCTCCGCTCCCGGGGCCGGCCTAACGCGGCTGCCACAGACCGAGAGGCTTAAAATGGCGCCGCACAAGGAGCTCTTATAAGTCGCGCAGGAGCCTCTGTATCCTGCCGCCAGCGGCGCAGCGCGAAGCGTTCCGCCGCGCGAGGACAAGGGGCGGGGCGCGGGGGGGCGGTGGAAAGTAGTCCCCGCGCTGCGGAGCAGCCCGCCGCTGTCTGCCGGCCCGGGGCAGGGGCGGGGCGCACGCGTCCTCTCCGGACGCTGTCCCGGGTAGAGGCCGGCGGCTGCCCCGCCGTGCGGAACGGGAGAGCGGCCCGCTAAGGCGCCGTGGTCCGAGTCAGGGAGGCCGGGGGCCCCCGCGAGCCGGGGTAGGCTGGGGGGAGGACGACGCTGGTACTCTCCACTGTCCCGAGCCCGACGTCCCCGCCTCGCGCGTGCCCCGGGCCGTGAGAGCGGACACGGGGCTGGCCGCCCGCTGCCCGCTGCTCGCGGGAGGCGGCATCGGGACCCAGGCCCTCCGGGGCCGAGCGGGCCAGGCGGCACAGGTCCCGGGAGGGCGGAAGTTCGGGGCCGGGGCCGCGCCGGCGGCGCGGGGAATGAGGTCGGGGCCCGCCCGCTCCGGGCGCTGCTGGGCGCCGCCGCCGCCCGGCTCCCGGTCAGGGGACCCCGGCGCGTTCGTGCTTCCGCCGTAGTTGCGGTCTGGGCCCCAGGCTGCCTGCAGGACTTGGCTCGCAGGCGAGCCAAGAGCCCCAGAGCCCCGCCACGGTCCGGATCGTGGATCTCGCATCCCTACCGGCTGTTCACCCCGAATCTAGAAATGAAGTACCCGGCCGAGCCGCCGGCTCTCCCCACTCCCGAAAGCTGTGAACTCGCGTTAGGATAGGCGCCTAGCCCGCAATTCAACAAGTCCTGATGAGTCCCTACTGTGAACAAATGACTGATAGAAATGGACTAGCTCTAGAGCCCTGCCAACTAGGTTAATTCTTACAGATTCCATTTTCATCTGGTTCCACTTTGTTACTAAGTATCAATAGATTTTTGTGGTGGTGGCGAGGATTTTTCTTTGGAGGAGGTGCATTTATAGGGTATCACTTATTTAAGAAATCCAAGTATGTTGTTTATGGAAAGAGCTATCGATTAGGCAGCTTCTAATTTTTAAAAACGCATTTTCTATTCTTCAAAAACATTTTCGAATTCGTCTTAATAGGTTGAAGTTGGTTCTTCATTTACCTTGGAAATGTCTCCATTGTAATCCAGCAGGATTGGCATTTGTCAAAGCTGAAAAAATTATGATCGATTCACTTTCTCTAGTCTGTTGTTGTATGCTTATTTTTCCTCCAAAACAACGGAGAGAGTACAAAAAGCAACAAAGTTATCTTGAGGCTTTTATCTCTGTAATTAATGCATGCAAACAATAGGTCTTTATACATAGGTACTGGCAGGAAACCGTCTTACTCATTCACTCATGGAGTAGGTTATGTAGTTTTACGCATAGCTATGCTTCAGGGGCAACATGTTCTTTAAATAATTCAATTTTTTCCCCTATCTTAAGGATATTTTATTATATACCGTGGTAATGTTAACTGCTGTCTATCACCATAGCATACGTGGGGCCCTGCAGTGGGAAAAGTCCACAGGCTAAGATGATGTTCAGTGAGATCCATTGTCTACAACGACTTTCTCATTTGTGCCTTTGCTAGTAGTTCTGTAGAATTAAGAGTAGAGGATGGTTGCAGTTAACCATCTGGTCATAATTTGAACAGATCGAAAGGAAAAAGATACTTCATCAAAGCAGTGTTTCTAATATAAACTTAAAACTGTAAATGGCATTTTTTCAGGTACCGAGCCCCAATTTTAATGTTTATATACACAGTTAAAGAATATGCAGTTGATTTGATTAAAGTCATATATTTAAAATAAGATGACTAATAAATATCAGAGTAATTTTTTAACAGACGTTTCCTTTTTCTGTGTTCAGGTTTGGTTCTGTTTTGCTGAATAAGGCACACTATTAAAACTGGTTAAGGAATATCTGCACCATTAGAACATCTAAAGGATAAAAACTCTTCTAGGTTTGTATTTCTCTATTTAGATGCCAAAATAATTGAAGCATTTTTCTATAATTTAGATATCTTAATCTAAATTTATAATTAATATTTAAAATCTCTAGTTAATACTTTAAGCAAACACATGTTAGTAAAGGAAATGTAAAATTTGCAGCAGGCTATTTTTCCCATCACATCTAAGTGTACTGAAGAATTACTGGGTGACTAGCACTAAGACGAATTAGTTGAATTTAACAAATTGCTCAGAATTTTTATTTGCTTATCCCCAAGATAGAAATTGTTCCAATTGCCTCACCAAAAATATGAGATGAATAACTTCTCTGAAATGAAGACAAATATTAACATTAAACCAACAAGAAATACAAGCATCAAAATACCTGATGAGTTGGTGAAATAAGTGATTTTGTAAAAATGATTTTTAAAAATTGACCTTGGGCAATATATTTCATAAAAAACACTTGGTTATCTTTTTACACCTTTTCCTTCTAGAGCTAGCCACTTGGGTTTGACGTGAATTAATCCATTTCGTGAAACTGCAGAGGACAAATGGTTCTAAATTTCAGGCTGTGTTCCTGGAAACCAAACGTGTCTCCAGCTGGTTTAACAGAGGAAGTATTACCTGTCATGATTTCAGACCATTGGCACATCCAGCAGTGGTTCCATGGAGCCTGAAGGTACAGCGTCCCTTCACTAAAACACATACTTTTGAATCACCTTAGGCAAAGAAAGAAATGCCCAGATTGTTTTTGCACTTCCGACAGAAACATTAATCAAGGCAGCATTGCAAAGAAGGCCCGTTCCCTTTTGGGACAGTTAACTCTATCAAATCCACTAATTAAACATTTATTGAACACTAAGACAATGGGCTTCCTTTAGAGAGAAATGGATGCCTGGCTCCTTTTGATGAGGATCCTTAAATGAATGTGTAATTGTAATTGTTAAGAAGCCCTCCTTGAAAAGAAACAGAAACAGTAGAAAACAGTGAAACGAGGGTGTGGTCTCTTGTGGACAATCTGAATCTCCTTGGGAAGAATCCTCCCCCAGCAGAAAGGTAAGACTAAATAATATTCCATGCATTTATAAACAATAACTCCCGACTCTCTAAGAAGGCTCGTTCAAAAATATTTCTTTTCAACAACCTGCAAACACTGGACAAAAATCAGAATCAGCTTTTCATTTAGCAGTTCATCAAGTGGGCTGTTTATGGATTGGGGCTTTTGATTTGCAACCCATCATCTCAGGGTTCAGTGTTATCTTTTGATTTCTTTCCAGCTGAACAGACTAAGTAGTTGTAAATACCTCTTGTCAGACTACATGGTTGGCTATTCTTACACACAGAAGTCATCTAGGAACCCACTGGGCAAATTCGGCGGAGAGCCACTATGGAAAGCTTGCATCTGGTGTGCACTGCGGCACGAGGGGGGGCAGTGAAGGTGGTGGGAGGCGATGTCCATGGTGGTGGCGGCGGCAGCAGCAGTGGTAGTTATGTTCATGGCCGCTTCAGCTATGCCAGGAACACTTTTCATGCATGGAGTTACGTGTTCTCCAGGCCTTCATTGGCTTGACACAAGAGTCTCTGCCATACTAAGGAAGTACATTTTAATGGCTACCATAGAAGGTGTAAGGAGAAGCAATGGAGACATCGTCCATCATATTCAAAGAGCACAAAGGTATATGTTTCTCAATGTTTCTAAGAACTAAGACAAACACCGCTGCATTGCTAAGAAATCATGCTTTGGAGACATACCTCCCCCAAACATACACACACACACACACACACACACACACACACACACCTCTCTATTAAAAATTTCAAAATGGTTGCAGATACTTCATTCACAAGAAGGTTAAAGGCGTTTCCCATCGAAAGAAGGATTAACTTACCGGAGGATTCTGGGACTGCAGATGTATACTGCGACAAAATCCTAAATTCATCGAAAAAAATCATTTCTAGACTCCAGCTGCTAAAAATAATAGAATTATAGTAAATCATGGATAAGATTAAAACAAGCCATTTTCACATTCCAAAGTGTTCAGGAAAAAAATGATTCTTTTCTTTTAACTCCTTTCTTAAACAATGCAAATTTTAAAGTAGCTTTTTCTTTCCAGAGCACGCAGCGCCATGAAATCGATAATTTTTGATCTTTCGGTTAGTAGGCAACATGGTGAGCTATTGCAGGGACTGCAGGCAGCAGACATGTTCTTGTCAGCTAAAAATTTTCATATTGTTTTTGAATCCATTGAGATTTGTAGATGTGATACCACTGGTTTTTTGTTTTAGCTTGCACTAGGCTATAGGGACACAAACCCTCAGTTTATCGACATATCCAGGTCTATTGCTTTATATATATTAAAAACAGGGAGTCTTACTGGATCTTAAACAAAAAATTATGTAAAAGGAGTGGCTGGTGTGATTATAATCCCATCATGCAGGGTCCACGGTTCCCATTTAGTGAAATTTCGCAGAGGGCAACTTCTTAAGAACATCCCTGCTGTGCAGAGTGAAAAGCATGAACAAACCAAAGACAGAATTCATCTGTGTTTATATTTTACAAACAATGAAAAACCTACTCTTTGTATGCCTTTTTTCCCCCACCTTATTATTTCATGAAAACTGCAGCATTTTCCCCGCCCCCATCCAAACACTCACCACCCCAGCACTGCAGTATTCCGTCCCTCTGTTGCTTCTCCTTCGTCTTCTTTTTCGCTTTCACAAATTCTGCACGCGCCATCTTTGTGTGGGGTGATTCTTTGCTAATTTCGGTTACCCATTCTCTCACAAATCGGTTCAGAAATAGAAAATTATAGTGTGCTTTGGGGCTTAATTTGCCTAAATTTCTTCCAGCCTTCCCTTCTGACACAGAAACATGGAAACAACAGGGAGGGGGGGCAAAAAAAGAGATATTTCTATTATTGCCATAACCTGTTGTATACAGTGGTGATAAGAAATATTATTAACATAATAGCAACAGCTGCAGCCTAATAGAAGCTATGAGATAATTAATGTGCTACAACAAATTAATTTGCTGCAGGTGCCTCTGCTGCGAACTGAGTAACCCATGCCATATAAAGTCTAAATAAAATGATGAGTCCCCCCACATGCTAAAAGAATACAGAGCAAAACGTCTTGTTCAGTAAATATTATGCGTGCCTATTGTAAAAAAAGAAAAAAATCCTCCCCAGCCCCTTCCCCCCTGTCCCCCACCAACCTATCTCAAATGGTTTAGTCATCAGTGGATAACAGTGGAGTTGGATCGGGTGTTTATGTGTATGAGTGTGTATGAACGCAGGTGGAGGGTATAGCTTTCTTAAACATATGGAAGTTTGATGCTGGGTCTTAGCTGGAAAACGTATGGAACAGCTATAGATTTCTTTTTAAAAATCAGCTCCATTGGTTTTAAAACAAAAATTAGTGTATTCATGTGTATAACCAGAAGGAAAATAACAGTGTTGAGCTGTAGCCCATCTTTTAAAGCTAATTAATCTTTTAAAAAACCACCTCTCTTACAAAAAAAAGGAAATGTGTTTATAGTGTGGCACTCTTCATTGATGTGAAAGAGAGACTTTTTCTTTACTCTCACTTGCTGTCAAGTTGAGTGTTTATGGAGAATGATTGCTGGTTATATCACAAGTGTGTTCCAGAAATACACCGCATCAGACAGGGCAGCATGGACAGGGCCTGGGGAAGGTCACAGTGCCAGAAGCAAATGTCCATTTTCCGTTTTGCACCACTCAGCAAAAAATAACTTTGAGCCTAGAAAAGTGGAGGAACATAGAGATTGATTTTTTTAACTACTTGACCAAAAAAAAAAAAAATTCTCTTAGCGTAGGGATATAGTCATTTCTGAGTTTTCTCCCAATAATGCTACCGAAGAAAATGACATTTCTGTTTTCATTGCAGCCTCAGTTTGTTGTTTGTTTAAAAGTCAAAAAATATAAATTTTACCATTGATCTAAATTTTCAAGGATATTGTTTACTCAAATTTACTTTATTGGATGATCTTAAATTTTAATTCTAAATCTTACAATAAATTAGATCTATAGTTTCTTAAACAATGCATAGATTTTTTAAAATAGCATTTTGCTTTAACTTTGCAGAAATTTTATTTCTAGGAGAGGATATAAAATTATTCAAACAGAACACTGTTCCGGCTGTATCCAGAAGGGACACTGCATTTGCACGGGTTTTCTTTTAAATATATTTTACTTCACATATTCTTTCAGGTGGACAGCAATGCTCTGAGTTACCACCATTCTCTAGACGAAATTACCGTGTATTTGTCACACCATTTCTCATGCAGTGACGGACATACATTTTACTCCGTCTTTCTTTTGTTTATGCTAAAGCTTTTTCTTCATAATCCACTTTCAAATCTGCCCACATTTTGAATTTATGATTATAGAATCTGAATTAGGGGGGGAAAGAAATAGAAACAAAGACTGTATTGTTTTTCTCATAAAAAGAGGAGAAACAGCCAATTCTTTGATAAAAATGAGAAAAGTTGATAAGTATGGAATATATCCATCTCCTCTGGGATTTTCCAGTAATTTTGATGTTAGTCGACTGTGTCGTTCCACACAAATGGAACTCTGTGAAATCATATAGTTCTATAATTATGAAATCAATTAGAGAAAGAAAAAATGCTTCAATTTCTGTTGCTTTAAGGGATCATCCATTCAAAATATTACCCTTCCCCTATAAACTGTATTAGAATCTAAGCTATAAGAAATCAAGACTGTAAGTGTCTAACACACATATTCCTCTTTCCTGTGAATGTTCTCTTTTCATAGCATCATGATGCCAAATCTCTCAACCTTTCCTCATAAGACTTAGTTTTCAGAACCCTTATTCTTACATTATCAGAACAAGGGACACTGTGCAAGTTCTAAATAGTAGAAAATGATTGTTGTAAACCAGCTTGCTCTGGGGTGGTTTGTTACACGGGAAAAGCTAACTAATATAGCTAAGATGATGCAACTTTCGCCTTGTTTTTAATAATCACATCATACCACAGGTTTATCCTGAGCTTGTTGTCTTCTAAAACAAAAATGTCTAAAGATTTTAAATTATGCAGTCTGGTTAGTAAAAAAATTTTGAGCATATGCTCTCTAGATGTCTATTTATTTAAATCATATACAGGTACTGCTGTCAATACATATATTAAATATCAATGAAGCTTGGCTTCTTTTTTTTAAGATAAAAAGTCAGTATAGGAGTTGCAGTATTTTATTTCCTCATCCCAATAGATCCTCCTGGGCACCTTTTGGGTTATATTCCCACTATTCAGGACCACTCTTCTAAAACTATGAAATCTTCCACAAAATCTGCCTTAAAGCATCGTTCATCTATTCTGAATGTGTGCAATTTGTTTTTTAAAACTAAACTCAGCTTTATTTATCATAGTTGCTGATTGTTGCAGAACCCTTTTGGAAATTACACATTGATCTTTTCTATTAACTGAGTTTAAATAAACCCCCTTTGGTTAAAAAAAAAAAACAAACCACCATTTGTTTTTCTAGCAAATGTACCTAGAATATATACTGGTTTGTGGGGTCTCTTGCATCACCATTTTCTCTTGGTATTTAACTCTTTTGTGTATGTGGATATGTATCCCATTTCTTTCTTTAACTATGTTTTAAGAAGGGGGTGTTGGGGACTTCCCTGCTGGTCCAGTGGTAAAGAATCCGCCTTGCAATGCAGGGGACGCGGGTTCCATCCCTGGTCAGGGAACTAAGATCCCACATGCCGCGGGGCAACTAAGCCCAAGCGCCACAACTACTGAGCTCACATGCCTCAATGAGAGAGCCCGTGTGCCGCAAACTACAGAGCCCACGTGCTCGGGAGCCTCTGCACCACAACTAGAGAAGAGAAAACCCGCATACCACAACTAGAGAGAAGCCCGCCCACCACAATGAAAGATCCCGCGTGCCACAACCAAGACCTGACACAGCCAAAAATAAATAAATAAAAGAAGGGGGTGTTAATGACATTTTCAACAAAGAGGATGAGGATGCCTTTTCAATGTCAAAAGATTCTGAGATACCTCACATGATAGTAGCTGTACTTTTAGTATCTGTTGATTAAGAATCTGCATGATGACAAAAAGCTACTATAAAATCAGTAAGGCTTTTAAACAAATTTGTGTTTTATTAATCACTGTGGAATCTACATGAATGTGAATACTAATCACAGACATATGTGGAAGACTCATTTTTCAGTGCACAGACGATTCTTCATGCCCTTCTGGGGTATTTGGGCCCTTGCTTAACTTGGTAATGAGAAAGCCACTGCAGGAATGAAAACAGGAAACACAAATCCCACTCTGTGGTGCACTAGTTCAGTGACCTGGACAGACTCTTTAACCTCTCTGAGTCCTGGCATCCCCTCTGTAGTGGCAGAAACAGCAGTGGTGGTGGGAGTCACAGTAATCCAAATGGTGACATCCATTTGCTCAGGTTATAAGCTAGATACACAGAGCTGGAATTTGAACTCTGTACTGTCCAGTGCAGTAGCCATTAGCTGTGGGTGGCTATTTAAAGTTAAATGAATTAAAGTTAAAATAAAATAAGGTTAAATTAAATTTTAATTCCTCGGTCTCATTGGCACATTTCAAGCACTCAGTAGCCACATTTGGCTACCATATCGCACAGCATGAATAAAGAGCCATCATCAGTTCCACTGGGCATTGCTGAACAAGACTGTCCAACTGCAAAGGTTGTACTTTTGCCACTGGATTTAAATCTTCCTTACTCATACATTCCTTTACTTTTCCATCAATTTAGCAAACATTTACTGAATACCTACTACATGCCAGGCACCATGTTGAACACTGGGGAGTTATCTCACTGTGTTGTTGTCAAGGGCAAATGTATAGACATAAAAGAGCTTTCTAAGCTATAAAGTTTTAGATGAAAGTGAGATACTTGTAGGTTGTAGTTGCTATTATAGTAGGGCTCCGCTTCATTGAGGGCGGGGTCTATGTTACTCTTCTTGGAATCCGCTCCTCCCTCCCCCACCCCACCTCCAGCACGTACCCATCAGATGTGAATGCATAGCTTCCCGTTATAGTGCATATGTGTCAGTTTTTATCCATCCACTTTCTGAACCCTTTTCCTAAATTAGGGGAATTCATCAGGTAGCGTATGGGCCGTGGAGCTGGATCATGGGCATGATGCCTCAGCTCAGCCAATCAGATTCTCTGCTTGGGACTCTGAAACTAGAGCGCATGACGTGAAGAAGCAGGTTTACTTATTTCAGTGACTGCAGCAGTTATGTCCACTTTCTACGCAACTGTCACTTTACCGGATCTACGATGGTTAATCTTAAAGGCAACTTTATTTTGTCCACCCCAACCTGACACCCCCTTAAGCCTCCTTCTTAGGGATAGTCCCACCATTACCATTGGATGCCACATGAAATGAATGCCCGTGACTTTCCTGGCCTTTGTCAGCTAACAAAGTTTTCTGGTCACTACGTTGCAAAACACGGTCTCAATTTAACACTTCCATCTTCAGTCGAAGGTAAAAATTCTCCCCTCGTCCCAGCTAGGGCTGCGAGGAGGGTGGCTTGACTCCTGCCTCACACCATCATGTCCTCCCCGCCGCCCAGTTGCTGTTTTTGACCCTTCTGGGGTTGCGGCCATGAGGAAAGGTAAGAGGAACGTAGTATTTCTTAACAGACTGGTTACTGTTGTCAACTGGCTTTTGCTCTCTGGGTCCGGCCAATGATTAAAGGTGGCCCTGTTGTGGACATTCTTGTGGGTTCTTGGGCAGCTCCCCTGCCAGAACACTCTGCCCCTCCCTTGGGTACGGAGTGACTCCACAACAGCCCCTCTGACGTTCTCTTCAAGGATCTGCCTCCAACCTCGATCTCTCATCCCTTTCACGTCCTCACTACGCTCAGTTCTGGGTCATCTGCTTTGACATTTCTGCCTGGTGACCTGCCCCATACCTTACTCTGACATTTAAAAATTGTCATATCTTTGTGGCTCACTTGAACCTTCTGGCCTGACCTCCTGCTCCCCTAGGGACAGCAGTGAGGGCGATGACAACAGTGACCTCATCAGATGCTTCTGTGGGTATTGTTTCCTCACCTCCTTGGGCTTCAGCTTTTATTTTGAGCCTGTTGCTTCTACCTTCCTGGTGATTCTGTGAATTATCTAATAGCCTTTCAATACATTCTTTTTCTGCTTTAGCCAGCCAGTCATTTTCTATTCCTTAAGTTCAACACCTGCTCTGATAAGCATTTCCATTGTAATGTGTTTTTCTAAATAAATTCATTTATTTTTGGCTGTGTTGGGTCTTTGTTGCTGCACGCGGGCTTTCTCTAGTTGCAGCGAGCCGGGGCGGGGGGGGGGGGCTACTCTTTGTTGTGGTGCACACGCTTCTCATTACGGTGGCTTCTCTTGTTGCGGAGCACGGGCTCTAGATGCGCGGGCTTCAGTAGTTGTGGCTCGCGGGCTCTAGAGTGCAGGCTCAGCAGTTGTGGCGCATGGGCTTAGCTGCTCCACGGCATGTGGGATCTTCCCGGAGCACGGCTCGAACCCGTGTCCCCTGCATTGGCGGGTGGATTCTTAACCACTGCACCACCAGGGAAGCCCCGTAATGTATTTTTGACTGTTGTCTATCTATCTCCCTAGTTTGCATCTAGTCACTATATCTCCAGTATCCTTTCACATTGCAAAGCAATGCAGGCACCATGTACAACAGTCAAACAAATCCGAAATATGTAACATGGAATAAAAAAGTGCTACA